CAGGCAATACATCTATTTTAATTATTTTCTTTGAGATATTCTCTCCTGGAGTCTTCCGTTCTTTCTCTGGGCTGATTGCGCTCTGAAGCTGCTTCACAGTTGTCATCCTGGGACTTAAGTTTTTTGTGATCCTTGGAGTTTTTTCTGGATTGGATTCCATATTTCCTGGATCTCATTCCTTCTTCTTTCTTGGTTTACTCCCACTGTTTTGATAAGGCATTTCCTCCATGTTTTTGTCAGGTTAAAATGATGGTCATGCTCCAGATTGTCTGTCTGATGCTTAGTTACCATTCCGGAGTCTCCATTTTCTCTCATCCTGCAGTTTCTCTTCTCCTTCCTGTGTTGGATCTCCTAGTTTTTCTATCCTGTGTCTTTCTCTGCTTGGTTTACTCCACCTTTTTGTGGAGGACATTCTCAGTAGTTTCCTGAGAACTACTAGAAGTAAACTTTTGGGTAACTTGTATGTCTGAAAGTACCTCTGTTCTGTCCTCATACTTGAATAACAACGTATCTAGGTATCAAATTTTAAATTGGAATTTATTTTCCTTCAGCATTTTGAAAGAATTTGTCTCTTTCTTGCATCCAGGATAGCTATAGGAAGATCTGTATGTATTTTGATTCCTGATCATCTCTAAGTATGTGACTTGTTTTCCTTCTGAAAGCTTATAGGATATTCTTTTAGTATCTATAATTCTGAAATTTTACAGATGACCTTGATGTGGCTTGGTTTTTCTTTTGTATTTTGGACCTTCAGGAAGGCTCTTTTCGTTCTGGAAATGTGTGTCCTTTACTTTTGGGAAATTTTTCTGGAAGTGTTTCATTGATTTTCCTCCCCTCCTTTTTGGCATTCTTTCTGTATAATTGTTATTTTGTATGTTGAACCCCCTGAACTCATCCTCCTGTTTTCCACTACTTTTTTTTCTTTTTACACTATTTTTCCTCAGCTTTTATTTTCTCACCCTTGTATTCATTTTTTATTTCTTCCATCACATTTTTAATTTCAAGGTCTTTGTTATTCTCTTAATGTTTCTTTTTAAATAGCAAACTACTTGGGGCGCCTGGGTGGCTCGATCGGTTGAGCGTCCGACTTCGGCTCAGGTCATGATGTCACGGTCTGTGAGTTCGAGCCCCGCGTCAGGCTCTGTGCTGACAGCTCAGAGCCTGGAGCCTGTTTCGGATTCTGTGTCTCCCTCTCTCTCTGCCCCTCCCCTGTTCATGCTCTGTCTCTCTCTGTCTCAGAAATAAATTTAAAAAAAAAATAAAAAAACCTTATAAATAGCAGACTACTTTTGTTTTGTGGGTGCGCTGTAATCTCCTAACTTTGAGGATATTAATGGTATTTTCCCCTAAATTTTCTTCTCTCTGAACAGTGTTGCTTTCCTACAAGTTGCTTTCGAAACATTTGTGTTTGTTATACTCTGTTTTCTTTCTGATAATCCTAAAATGTCTATTCATGATTAGAACAAATAATCCCAGAGGCGATTGACGTTCTGAACCATGTGGGTGTTACCCATGTGACATGAACTTTAGTATAACATTCTCTCGATTATTTATTAGCAACTGGCTAGATTTTCTCTAGAGCCTTCCTGATCTTCTGTCTGAAGGAAAGGGTCTGCCTCCCAGCATTTCAGGAGCCCATTGTGAGAAGTGGGCTGGGACTCATTATTGGGGGGCAGGGGATATAACTGAATCCCCTGTTTCTGGTATGTACATGTGCCTTCATCTGTGCCAACCTGTGACCTCTCCAGAGGTTGAACAGTCTTCCACCAAGCTTGTGTGAGACTGGGAGGAGATCCAGAGATCTGATTCTCAACATCACGTTTGCCCAGTTCTCTTTATTTTGATCCTTCCATTCCTACCCTCACTTCCAAAAGTATCCAGTCAATGCCAGTTCCTGGGGGTTTTGTTGGTTGGTTGGTTGGTTGGTTTTTGAAGATCCTACAGTGTAAACTGGGTTGGTTGCAGCTTGACAATTGCAGTCTTAGGAGTCAGCTTTCTTGGGCTTGCCAGGGTAGTCCGTCTTGCTTCACCTTCTAAAATTGTGTTGCTGTTGTCTATTTGGATCTTCTCCTTGTGGATTATATCTTTAAAACAACAAATCACTCTTCTGTTGTTTTGTTGAGTTTTGCAGTTGAGCAAGACTAGTTGTTTCTGTTCAAACTATCCCCTTATGTGCCCCCCTGCCTTTTTTCTTGCTGTGTATTTCTTTATCAAGTGTAGGCATAGAAAGTAAAGGGTTATCCTTTTGTTTTTAAGACAGAGTTTTCTTTCTTGAACTGCCATCATGACAGATACTATAGGAAAAAGTCTGTTTTTAAAATGTATTAACCCATACTTGTTTATACTGAGTTTTCTATTGTCTGGTTTTTTTTCTCTCTCCATATTTTTGCTTCACAGAATAAAAATACCACTGTAATATGAAGTCTTGAATGATGGCAATTTATAAAATATCCAGTGATGTGTCTAACATTGGATTTCCAAAACTTAAAATCTTTTCTCTCCAGCTATAAAGTGTACTTGGTTTTGTAGCAGTGAATGAAACTCACTAAGAAATATTTGTTCTTTATAGACTGGTGATTCTCAGACTTTAGCAAGTGTCAGGAGCACTGGATGGCTTATGAAAGAGACTGCAGGCTCCAACCTCTAGTTTCTGAGTCAGTAGACTTGGAGTGGGGTCTGAGGTTTTCAATTTCTAACAAGTGATACTGATGCTAATGCTGCTGGTCTGAGGACCACACTTGGAAAATTACTGATATAGATGATACTGAATGCTTAAAAAACAAAACAGTACCACCAGAATTCCCCAGTAAAACTTCATTGTTATTTTTCAAATTGGTCAATTGAGAGATGCTTTGAATTTATTGTTGTTGTTCCCCTCGCCTAAAATATGTCTTTCAAGACAAGCATGGTCTCAACATTTTAATTAAGGAGTCCTTTCCTTTGGTCCACTATTGTTCCTTTCTTTCTTTCTGAACTACGGGTGTAAGGCTTTGTCCCTTCCCACCCTTCCTGCCTCCCTCATTTCTTCAGGTGCTAAGAGCTTTAGTGGCGCTGCCTGGTAGAGGAGTAACTCAGTCCAGCAGAAGTTGGCTGTCAGGATGAGCTCTCATGTAGGAACAGTCTGGATTGAGCTCAGTCATGTGGGATCTGCCTTCTGGTTGGTAACATGTTGATAGCATGTTGGGTGCATTTGTCTGAACACGGAAGCTTACCGTTGAGATTGCATATTTATATGTAAACACGAACGTCAATGTCAGGGTAAGTCTTTACTAGTCAGTAACTTGCATGTGGCTATACCAGGAAGCATACACTTTTTAGAATTTACTTGAAAACTGAATGATTAATTTGGCAGGGAGGTGTTTTACTTGTGTCAAAGTGGATCCCTTCATGGGAACAACTCTTTCTCTTAATTAAGGTGAGGAGATTAGCAAACAAAACTTCAGTTGAAGCAAAGAAAATACAAATAGCCTTTTTTCCAGTTAAGTAACTTAATCTAACAGAAGCAAAAATAGTTTTAGGAAAGTAGGTTTGATATTATAGAAACGAGGGATGGGAAGGTGTTAGCATACTCCATGAGGAGAGTTCCAGATTTCCTTCTTACTTGATTGCTCCCCTATGGGTGTGGCAGGAGAGCCTTTAGAAATGTTTTACTGTTGGTTTTTAACCAGCACAGATATTTTTTGTTCTTTACGTTGGTTAAATTATAGTACAAGTATGCCTTTTGACATACTAAGTCAATTCTGAAATTTTTGCTCACGTTTATTTATATGCTCTCCAGTCTTCCCATTATATTTGGGTACAAGCTCTGCTTGATTCTTTGATCCCAGGAAGACACGAGTAATCCAGTAGGACATGTTTTCTGGTTTGTAATAGTGTCCTTTTCTTTCTTTTTTTTTTTTTTTCCCCTAAATGGAGTGACTGTTTCAGGGCTATGTTTTTTAAAATAAAAGGTAGCTTCAGAATTAGATAAGTAGTCTCTTGTAACCTAGAAAATGTCTTTAATATCTTTTCTCTTAAAAATTGCATAGCCCCAATAAAGATAACACTATTTTCTAACCAAATATCCTGGGTTCTTACATGTTTAGGGAGATTTTTCCAACATTGTGTATTTTTGTAAATGGTATAAATAGAAAGGCATAGACTGTTAGCTCCAGGAAGACAGGACTTTGTTTTGTTCATCAGTGTATTTCCAACATGAAGAACAGTGCTTGATACACAGTTTTCAGTAAATGTTTGTGGAATGAAGGAAAGAAATCCCAGAGCTTGAGTTCCGCATATATTGTATTACTTAATTAATACCACAAGGTGGTACTGTTGTACCATGAAATGAAAGGCTGTAATTCTTAGGCTGTCATACAGTTTTACGTAAATCCTGTAAATAAGCAAAATGAATTGACTACCTATTATGTTTATTGCCTGCTTCAGTTATTTATCATTTTAGCATGTGATTAGTCTTTTGATTACATGATTAGGTCAGGCAATGAGATCATAACTTAAATAAAGAACATTTGGTTCAAATTTTTATCAAGTGTTAAATGAGATAACATCTATAAAAATCTAGCACAGAACCAAGTTACTTTTCCTTTTATTTCTTTTTTTGGGGGTGGGGTTAAAAGCCTTTGTTAAATTTCTGTTTGTTTTAAAATAATTTGCCAACATTTTTCTAATAAATTGTCACTGAATGTTAAATAATATTTGTTGGTTTTGATTGCCAGATTTAAAAAAATTGGCAATAAACCTAGATTTTACTATATTCCCTCCCCCTGCAAAAAAATTATTTTGCTTTCATTGTTCCTTTATGGGGTTAAAATACTAACGTATAGCTCTCTTACATATTTGTGCATATATTGTAGTATATAAATTAAATCAGTCTATAATTTGTCTTGTTTTCATTCCTATTGTAAAAGTAAGTGTTGATAAGTTTGTTTTGTAGCTTGGGTTTTATTAATTCCTTATAATTAAATTGCCTTTTGATATTTTGGTTCTGTAATTGCCTTCAGACTGAAGGGAAATCAGAAGAGGGCCCTGGATGGACAATCCTACGAGATGATTTCATGATGGGAGCGTCCATGAAAGACTGGGACAAAGAAAGTGATGGCGTGGATAACAGCAGACCAGGGTCTGGAAGCGACTCCGACACATAGGCTGTAGAGGAAACGCATATACTGTCGTCGTATTTTTCCTAGAAAAATACCTCATGCTCTCTGAGTTGGACATTTATAAAGCTAAAATTTGTAAGAAATCCGGAAGACTTTTACTATTACCAACTTGGTGTTTTTCCTTTTCATGAAAACTTTGTGAAAATTAGGTTTTCAGACTATGTATAATTTTAAGCATTGTTCCTCACAACATTTGTGAAAAGAAGTGTTCCTTATTGATCAGCGAGATGGCACAATTTGCCAGGACATTATAAGTTTTACACACTGGTCTGGACATTGGTGTTTTCTTCCAGTTTCACTAGTTTCTAGAAATACAGTACTCTTCATAATTAAAAATGAACTCCTTGAAGTCAGTATGTTTCAGCTTTCCAACTTCTTAGACCTGTGTGTGTGTTTGCAGCGGGGGGTGGATTTGGGGTATTCGTTTGGGTGAGCTATTAAGAAAACCTATGTAGTGACATTTAAAGTGATACAGTATTTCTGATTCAGGGTGATGATTTCATTTTTAGATCTTCTGGTTAGTAAGATTTAAGGAGCACACCAAATCTTTACTTTTATATTATGATCCTTTATATGCTGAGTAATACATATATAATGGTTTAGATTTATCTTAAGTGTTAGGTTATTTTTGTGTGAGAGACTTACTGGGGCGGAAATTCTCATGTTTAACTTATGCGGTGAGGCCTAATTTCTTAGAAAGCATATTTGACATGTTTTAGCTCCCCCCCCCCCCCCCCCCCCCCCCGCTTTCCCTGTTTTTGGGTTAGCTTAAATTCTCTTTTTTGGTCTGACTAAAACCAGTGAAATGGCAGTTAGACTGCTGGTAGTCTGCTTCAGAATCCTCTATGGGATTGGAGATTCGGGTCTTTATTGTTGCCTTAAAAGTGATTACATTGGGTGACTTAGTATCTAGCTGTTAAACAAAAAGAAAAGAGAAAGTAAGACTGTTGAATATCATTCCAAAATTTCTGTGAGACTGGGCCTAAGATGTAAAGCTTGTGGAGGAATTATTTAATGAATAATTTTTCCATAATAAATTTCTCCATTTTTCCATAATAAAATGATTCCCTTCTCATTTGCAGATACCTGCATCCTCACCTCAAAATTATGCTGGAGCAGAGATACTGATATTTTCAAAGCCATTTGAGTGTCACAGGTATTAGGTATCTAAGGTTAAATTAGTCCGTGGCCTGGTATTCGTCAGCATAAAGGAAGGTGTCCACCTAAGATCAAGTGATTAAACCAGCAAAGCTAAAAATACATTTTTGTAATTATCCCAACTTTTGAACTTTAATGTCTTATTAACTTATAGAACTACCATTTTGTCAGGATAATTTAAATAAATGTGGACAAGTACTCCTCCATAGTAATTAAGAGTGCTAAATATCACGATATAACTTAACACAGATAGGTATTTTATTATAACCTAATGCATACATAATTTTGGAAAAGAAAATTCTCTGCAGCAGTTAAAAGCTTTTTTTCTCCCTAAAATTAAAGGCTATACTTCTTTTTTGCTACTAGTCTTATTCTGGAGCATATGAAAACTGTGCAAAACTTCTTCTAAATAGGACGTTTGGGTGATAGAAATGGGCAAATCACTTTTCATTTACGAAAACACTTTTGAAACATACACTTAGGGTTTTTGGTTTAATTTTAAAACTTTGTCAAGATTTTTTAACTGAAAGTAAGAAAGAATATATGCAAATTTTCTTCTTTTGGAAATTATTTTATCCCAAAATAAAAATGAGTTGCCAGTGTAAGAAAAAATTTTATCACTTCTCTCAGAAGGCTGTGAAGCATATTCACAGTACATGAAATGATTTCTGTCATAAAGATGGGATGTTTGATATACATATTAGTAATGGTGCCTCTTGGCTATACAATGTGTAGCCAGAATATCATCGTATATGAATGTAAATCCAAGTACCAGCCTATTGTTTTAGAAATTAAGTATGTATCTGGAGATGAATATTTTAAATATTCTAGCTCTGTCATCTTTACCCTAAGTACTTGACTTACAACATTTAAGTTCTCACATCAGCCAGATAAGTCTGCATTTTTCCCATCTTCCTATATTGTCTTTGAGTTAAGGAGGGAAAAGAAAAAGAACTGTACTTGCGTACCCCCCCCCCAATTTATCCAAATATAACATTTGGATTGTATTTTTGTTAACTATTTAGAATACAATAATAATAAAAAGGTTTTTTTTTGTTTAGAAAGACTATATGAAAAATAGTAACCAGATAACTCGTAACTAGGTATTATCCCCTTATCCGGATATTTAGATGGCTGCGGTGAATGCTCTTAATCTTTAGCGTAGTTTAGTATTGGTCAGTAATTGTTTTTAGGCATTGAAATCTCCAAGTCAAAATTAATACGTGTTTCAGACTGAAAAAACTTAGTAGTTTAGCACTGTAGTTTGGAGTTGGAGTACTGGATTTATTTTCAACTTCCCTAGAATTCTACATAGAACAAGTATGGTTCTCATTGAAAAGCATACCTCGGAACCCTTTAGATGGGCTAGTTCAAAGGCTCACCTTCAGTACTCAGAGCCGAAAATGACTCACTAGGAGGTTCTGGAAGGTTTATTTGAGGGTAAGTCCAAGTTCTTTAAAATATTTTGTGTGTTTTACAAGGGAGTGAAAAGGGAATGTTTATATTCTGGAAAACCTCTTAGGACTCTTTTAATCACTGTGTTTTGCGTTTATGAATATACTTAATATTCAGTGGCCACCAACGAATCCTGTCCCCTGTGCCGGTCTTCAGGCCATGAGAGTACAGTACTTCATTACAAAGCCATCTGATTACAGTTGACGGATGCCTGAAGATGTCCTAGTTAAACATAAGTAGAAGAGACGTCCTGAGGTTGAAGTGTGAACAGAAACATAGACAGACTGAAGATACAAATTGTGTTGCTCAGGAGTTAAAGGAATTGTAAAGCCTAGGCCATGCCTGAAAAGGAATCTCCAAAGAGCATAAGTATTTCTATAGAAGAGAGAGGAGGAGGTCAAATAAATAAGGTGATACTTTCACAACCTTTGGATAATTTTTTTGCTCACTATTTATCTTAATATATGTGCTAAATAAAGAGTCTGAAGTGAAATGGGATGTAGGTTTTATTTTTTCAGTCTTTTTAATGACTTCAGAGTACTACTATTGTGTTTAGTATGTAGATCTGTTTGTGCAACATGAATTTCACTTTTAAAAACAAACATTTGAAAAATTAGTAGATACATTTTTGGACCTTTGTAATTTTTTTAAGTTTATTTATTTATTTTGAGAGAGGAGAGAGAGAATCCCAAGCAGGCTCTGCACTGTCGTTCGCAACCCCACATGGGCCTCAAACCCACGAACTGTGAGATCATGACCTGAGCCAAAGTGTTTGGACACCCAACCTTTGTAATTTCTTAAGGAGAAGCATGTGTGTCTGTCTTTCTGTGTCTGTCTTAGCCTAGGTTCCTATACTAGGATATGAAAGACTGGCTAAAACAAAGAACATTTATTTCCCATTGTTCCGTAGGGTGGGATGATTGAGGTACCAGCAGATTTGATGTCTGGTGAGAACCCTCTTTTTGGTTTGTAGACAGCTGACCTTTTGCAGTGTCTTCCTTGGGGAAGAGAAAGATCATCTTTTCTCAGTCTTTTGTGGAAGGGCACTAACCCTGTGGCTCCACTCTCGTGACCTAATTACCTTTCAGAGGGCTCCACGTCCAAATACCTATAACATTGGCGATTGGGGCTTTAATATATGAATTTGAGAAGACACATCTTCAATCCATAGCAGTGTGTAAAATAGCAAACTGTACATTTTTAACTTAGATGTAGAATAATTTTACCATTGTTTCTTAAATTTAATACAATTAGTTAAATGAAGGAAGCTGAATTCATTCTGCTCTTTTTTAAAATTCACCTCTTAGAATTAATGTGACATATTTGTCTCCATTCGATATGTTAGTGATAGGTAGAGAGACTGTTAAGGCCTGGAGATAGGAGTATGAGGACTGTTTGAGGTGAACTGGCAGTAAGAACAAATTCTGGAAACAGGAGGAAGGACTACTCCACGCCTACAAAAAACTCTCTCTTTCTCTCCCCAAGAAAACAGGAGTCTGAATTTTGGCCAGCTGGATACATGAATCTCAGTGACTGTTGCTGCAAAGGTAGGCCCGGTGAACTTTTTCACTGGGTGAACTTCTCCTGAGACCTAATTAGATGTATTAATCAAGAGGGCCTGTGAACAGGTTTGGAAGTAGAATGGTCTTCGAAGTTCATGTGAAGACATTTAGAACAGTGATAAAATACTAAGTTGCAACAAATCTAATCACAATTTTATAGGTGGAAGATAACTTCTAATGCTTCTCAAATAATTTTCGATTTTCTAAAGAGTGCTCTTTAGCTTAGAGAACCACAGTAATATTTTTCATCTGGACTACTAAGCATAATTTCAGGGAGTTATAATGTAGGGCTTTTTATCTACATGTGTGATAAACCTTTTGTGCTCACAAGAGGTGTCCTGAGAGAGTCACAAAACATGTTTTGTCAAGAATCACCAGTCTAGCACTGCTCACCTCTTCCCACTTTTTTTTGCCCCTCCCTCCAATAGCAGGGGTTCATATTGAGCTTTCTGCTAAAATGCTCTTTGTAAGTAGCATTCACAACCAAGGATGTAAGCAGGCATGTGTGTTAAAGAAGTGAAAATAATTCCTTATAATTTCAGTGTTCAAGTCAGTACTGTCCAATAGGAACGTGTGTGGTGCTAGAAATATGTTAAATCTCCATTATCCAATACAGTAGCTCAAGTGGCTACTGAGTATTTCAAATGTAGCTAGTGATCCAAAGGAACAGAGTTTTAAATTTTACTTAATTTTAATTACTTTAAATTTTGACAGCTACATGTGGCTAGTCATGGTCTAACTAAAGAGAATAATGTTACAGAGCATATATTTAGTCTGATAATATATCAGTAAACTTTGAAATCATGTCTGTGTTCTGACAAACTTTTATGGATACAATTTAAATACATACAAATATCAGTGTCATTTTATCGATTGAATTCTTGTCGATTTCTCTTTTTCACTATTTGTATTTTGAAGAAGATATATTAAGTTGCTTTACAATTAACACTATTTCTCAGGTAACTATTGCCCTCAAATGTGAGGCCACTATTAATAACAAATAGCATTGGGGCGCCTGGGTGGCGCAGTCGGTTAAGCGTCCAACT